GCCCCACAGCAGCTTGCATTGCTTCACAGCTGGGCCTCATCTGGGCACCTCCAAACCATAAACAAAGAAGAGGAATCAGCAGATCTCTCCATAGCTCCTGCTGGGTAGCCTCAGGCAGAGGCTAAATTAGCACCTCCCTAGAGATCCAAGAGCCAGTGTACCCAGTGGTCAGAGTGGAACCATCCAGATTACAACTCCTCAGATCCATAAGGGACACATTCAGGGGACAGACTCAGTGAGCACCAAAGCCCCACTGAAGCAAGTCTTGCCCCATAAGGGTGTCTCCAGCACAGTTCTCCCACTGTAGACACAGCTGATTCTCACAGCCAATTGGCCTGGAGGTCAATTCCTCCCAGTGATACCTACAACAATCAAGGCTTAACTACAACAAGACTATAGTTAACAAACCCTCTCTCTGCTGATTGCAGTTATTTGTAAAAGGCAGAAATCAATTACTTTCACAGTTATATCTTAGTACATGAAAGTTTCCATTATTACTCCATTAAAAAAACGAAGTTAAAATGATTAATACACATTTAGACTCTGGAATAAACTGACTTTAGAGAAGAAGGATAAATATTAAAGAATGTACCTCTAGGTTCTTACCTTTGGTGGCTTAAATGGATAATCGGATGAAAATGTGATATCCAGAAAAAACACACCACCTTCATATACAGAACCTGGTGGACCAAGTATAGTCGATCTCCATTCATAAATATTATCTCCTTTAGGCCCAGCACTATTTAAAAGAAATTAAAAATCAATGTGTATATCTGTAAGCAATGAATGTTAAAAACTTTTACCAATTAAAAAAAAAAGCTTATACCAATTAAATATTAAAGGTAAATTAGCAACTTAGAGTAATAAGAGATAAATTCCAATGAGTGCAAGCATGTGTATAAACTTATTTGGAAATGCTTCAAATCTATGGAAAAATTGCAACAAAGAACATCATATTACTTTACCCAGATCTCTTTCTGTTAGCATTCTGCCCCATGTGCTTCATCACACCCTTCTTCTCTAGGTATATGTACATGCATATTTATACATACACCCACATATACACAAAGTGCTTTTTTATGAGCCATTTCCCCATAAATACTTCGGCATGCATTTTCTAAAATAATCTCCAATACAATCACAATACAGCTATAATTCAGTAAATATATTATCAATACAATACTTCAACCTATAATCTGCAAAGTAATGTTGTCAACTGACCCAACAATGCCTTTTAAACAAAAAACAAACTTCTAATTTTTCTCCAGATATGGGATCCAGTCTTGGGATCATCTATGTATATCCTGCACCTTTAGTCTTCTTTAATATAGAGCCTTTCTTTGACTTTCATAACATTAACATTTTTGAAAACTACAGTTCTTTTTTAAATAAAATGTGCATCGTTTTGAACTTGTCTGATGTTTCCTTAGGATTAGATGCAGGTGGTGCACTCCTGGACAGGATAGTACACAAGTGATGTGTTCTTCTCAGGATATCACATCCAGAGGCATATGGTATTCTCCTGTTCCCAATTGGTGATGCTAATTTTCATTACCAGATCAAGTGCTGTCCAATTTTCCTACTGTTTACTTAATACCTTTTCCCTATAACCAAGAGGCAACCTTTGGACAGACACTTTAAAACCATGCAAATATCCTACTGTTCATCAACATTTGTCCCCTAGATTTAAGATCCACTTGTGAGCCCTGGCCCATGTGTGGCTCACTGGTTGGGCGTTGTCCAGCGGAGGGAAGCCAGTTAGATTCCTGGTCAGGGCACATGCCTGGGATTGAGGGCTCCATCCCCAGTTGGGGATGGGGTGCAGGGGGGAGTAGCAGGAGACAATATATTCATGTTTCTCTCTTGCATTGATGTTTCTCTCCCTCTTCCTTCCACTGTCTCTAAAAATCAATAATTTATTTTTTATTTTTTTAAAGATCCACTTGTGAGTCTTGGTTAAACTGAATTACTATGATGGTGATAAAATCGTGACTTTCCAAATCCAGCATTTCCTCCATATTTATCAGCTGGCTCTTGAGCCCTTTATTCTCCCATTTGTATGAATATATACCAGGTGTACTGGTTAATAATGGCGGATTTTGTAATCAAAGAAAACACGATAATTTCAAGAGAAACATCAAAAATGCTTTATTCAAAGTAATGTCCATCGCTAGCTACACATT